TGCCATTGTATTTTCCTTTTTTGAAATTGCTTTTTATAATCCCATGTTCACTATAGCAATTTCAAAGGAGGCAAATGACACCAAATCATTTACAGTCACAAAAGAACTTCTGCTTATTTAGTGTCGGCTTGAGGTAATTTTAGGGGAACTTGACTTTCAATGAGTCACACAAGTAAATCTTGCCATTTTGGCCTTTTGGAGAGGCCAAGAAGAAACTTGGATTAGTCCAGGAAAAAATTTTAGTCTGTGTTTAAGTTAGTACCTTAACAACTGCCAAAAGTCTAGCTCACTACCCTAATAACAGCATTGAGTAAATCTGATATGCTATTAGTAATAGTTTGAGAATCCCAAATTCCTTATGCTAGCAATCGCTACCCTTTTTTTCATCATTTTGAAAACTACTTATTTATTTACTGATTCCCCACTGTTGCTTGGCTATGCTCACTGCTAAGGATATATCTATGATTAAGACTGATGAAGTCTCTGGAGCTTGTATTCTCCTGGAGAGACATATACAAGCAACAATCAAATATGTTAAGAAAGTGTATCAGAGAGTATATGAAGTGCCACAGACACAATAAAAAAGGCGATATGACAGAGAAGCTCCAAGGGTTGGGGAGGTGCTACTTTTTTATGCAGTTTAGGAAGGGCCTCTTATTATGTGAAATTTGACCTGAAACCTAGATGTGCAGAGAACCTGGGTCTGAGAATTTCAGGCAAAGGGCAAGTGCAAAGATCCAGTAATAGCAACAGTGGTTTTTTCTTTTTCTTTCTTTCTTTCTTTCTTTTTTTTTTTTAATGAATGGGAATAGAATCTAGTGGGGCTAAAAGGCAGTGCACTTGGAGAAGAATGGTACAGACAGGGCAGTGACAGATGCAGGAGGCAAACTATGGCTCATAGGCACGGCAAGAAATTTGCTTTTATTCTAAGAGGAACAGGAAGCTATTGAAGGGTCCAATTTGTATTTAACGACGATGATCTGGGCTCCTGTCTGGTGACTGGAGTGTGTGTGTATGTGCACATGTGAGCTGCAGGGAACCCGCGAGGAGCGGAAGCAGGGGGATCAGGTGGGAGGTTCCTTATCTGCAATGAAATCCAGGCAAGAAATGACAATGGCCCAAACCACTCAACATTCATGGGGATAGAGTACAGTGGATAATGCAAGATATATTTGGAGATAGACTTGATGCTAAGAATGGAGGAGAAAGGGGTGAGGGTAGGGAAGGGAGAAGTACAGGTGTCTGAAGTTAGGTGCCATCCAATGGAGCAGGGCCTAGTTCTATTCTGAACATGAGGCTGGTGGTGGCCTGTGAGACAGCGACCTGAGGAGGTCCAGTGGACAGGTGGATAGAGGTGTCTGGAGCCCGGGGTAGAGGTCTTGGCTAGAGAAATAAATTTGAGAGTCAATATTCCACACAGTTCGTGACAGACAACCCAGGCACACATTTGGTAACTAATAAATGCTTATGATGTGACTGACTGATAGCTGACAGAAAAAGCAGCGAGAATTCTGCATATGGGAAGATGTTTTGCATCTGTTGGCATGGAGTGTTGAGGAAATGCCAGCAGAGCACCAGGTGCTGCGGCTGCTCAATAAATACTAATTTGCAGTGGTAAAGCTTCAAGAAAGCAATGAACTGTTATTTCAGGACCTGACCCTGCCTGGCTTAATTGGCGCCAGAGCTGTTGTTCAGTTGCTTGTACCTTCTGTTCTTCATCCTCAGTATCTTTCTTCCTGGTGGTTTAATTCCTGACCTGGGCATCTTGCTTTCTTCTTGATCACTGCCTCTTACCCTTACATTCAGAGCACACTGTCATCACTTTGACTCTGTCCCTAATGACCAGCTCAGAGCCTGTTCTTCACAGGTTTCTGACTCTGCCATGAATCACGAACAATAACTGAGTACCCATTATGCAGCAGGCACCATATTGGACACTTGACCCACATATGCCATTTATAGCAACCCTGCAAAGTAGGTGCTTATCCTTGGGTTAGGCCTTAATCTCCCTGAGAGAGTAAGTGGTTGGCTCTGTGTCAGGTAGCTAGAAAGTGGTGGAGCAAGAAGTCAAAACAAGTCCAAGCTGACTCTGCAGCTGAGCTCCCTGCTTTCCTGGATTCGATAAGTATGTGGATTTTGCCTGCTGAATCAGTCTGTACCCTTGACTCACCCAGTTCCCTAGCAAATTCTACTAGGTAGTTGGTATCTGTTTATAACCACCATGTATCAAGGCAGACTGGCCTACATCTATACCCTAGAGGGACAGTGTTCCACATCTCTGTAATTGCACACTGCTTGGTGCTCTAATGTGGGTATTTATCATGTGGAACTGGCAGGTCCTAACCTGGGACAGGCCCATAGCCCAGGAAGGTATGAGTCATCAGAGAAACAACAGAGATTGAGTATACTGGAGCTACCATGCTAGGGACCAGGGAAGAGTAGCTGGGAGGAGATGGATTGAAGACCAAGAAAAAGGGCCCAGAGCTGTGTAGAAGAGGAAGATGTGGGCTCTTAGCTAAGGAATGAGATGTAACAGGAAAACGTACATAGAAAAAATAACTCATTGTTTTAAACAGCCTTTACTGCTTTATGTAAATGTGTAAATAAAGCTTCAATCTCCCTGGCCACAAACTCACACAGAAAGGCTTTCTGTCTTCATTAGGCATGTCTCCCAAGCATGGAGGTGTTACAAGACAACAAGACGTATGACTAAACACCATCTGTAGTAGGGGAAACTGTTTCACCATCAAGCAAGAGAAAGTGGTGCCTTCACTTGCAGGAGGCCAGCTGCTGGGAGGCTTGGGAATTTGGGCAGTAATTATCTGCAGATAACATCAAACTGGAGGACAAACTAGAGAACAAAGGGAACTGAAGCTACTCTCGCAGACACTCATCTGAGCAGCACCTGTTCTTCAGGCAAACTTGACCTGTTACTATCTGACACCTGCCTGGCTGGATGGGCCCCATGCTGCCTGCTGAGGCAAGGGAGCTGATGAATCTCCATTTCACGTTAGGTTTCGTGGCAGAAACGGGATATGGAATTCTAGAGGAAAGCAAGCATTGATCAGACATCCCTCACTAAGATATCAAATTGGTAAGGTCAAAAGGTGAAGAGCATGGTTTAACAGGCAGACAAGAGGGGAAAGAAGAGACATGGACATCATATCCTTTAGTCACAGCAGATGGTGATGGCACTGCAACAGCAAACAGATACGCAGTGAACCCTCAGCCCGCTGGATGGCAGAAGAGTTTCAGCGGAACTCTAGGGAGAGTCTGTACATGGATAATCCGAATTGCCTACCTCCACTGCTAACACTCCACCTGCCTTAAGGGACAACTGACATGGTTCCAAGGATTTTGAGAAACTGAGAGATGTTCTCTCTCTCTCTCTCTCTCTCTCTCTCTTTCTGTTTCACACACACACACACACGCACACACTACACAGAGACAAAATCTTAAATATATATTTAATTACATCATACTTTTGTTGTCTTTTATTATAATATTCAAAATGCCAACAGCCAAGTCCTTTGCTATATTCCCCACAGCTCAAATAGAGTAGGCTCTCCATATATATTTACAAAATAAACAGATAAATGAATGACTATTTGCTATCTGTTTGCATTTCAAGTTCTGGTGCCTGACCTTGCCTAGTGTCTTTTTATTAATGCCCCTAGATAGAGTCTTTAGTTGTATTCTAATTTTACAAATTTTTTTTCATTGAGACATTTAAATTCCTCTACTTCCTTACACAAGGCAATAATTTTTCTGATGGAGAAACACTCAATAAAAAGCAGGAGTGAAGGAAACTTTAGCAACTTGTGTCTTAATTTGCACTGAGAACATTCTTATTTAGTGCATCTCATTCAAAAATTTGTATTTATCCTATTTTTCTCTCATTTGAAAAAATATTGAATATTATTGGATTTGGTTATTGAATAACAAATATTATTGAATATATTATTTGAATATATTGACCCCAGAGTTAAGACAAGATCAGAGTACGAAATAAATGGAACTCATCCTGGATTTTTCCTTAAGCACCAGATATTTCCTCCTCTCCAGTCATATGCCTGGGATGAGAAAGTCTACTGTGTCCTAAAATTGAGATGACCTGATGAATTTCATTGCCCTTCAACAGATGTAAAATTTTACATAGAAAAATGTATTAAACCATGATAACTTGGCTCTGAGTATGGGTATGCATGGACATAAGTCTTTGAAACAGGTTCAAAACCTGATCCAAAAAGTACTAATGTTCAAGAGTGAATCTCAAGAGTGTTGGAATTGGAGCCTTTCCCTCTTGATAAGGCATGCATGGCACTTTAAAAGCTATCCGCAGCTCTATATCTAATCCCAGTGATGACAAAAATAAGCAAGGACCCAGGGGCCTTTGATTTGAAGGATATTAAGTATGCTATTAAAGAAACTGATCAGAATAAAAACAGAAAATAGAGCCTTAGTCCTGCCTTTCAAATCTTGCTGGCATCCCACACTCAGAAAACTGATTAGTGAATTAAGGAAAGTTAGAATTAAAATCTCATCACTTTTTTGTCAGCCTTTATTATTTTAAAATGTCATGTAAATATGACCAAGCATAAAGATTTACTAACTATGGGCACTGAAAATACCCAGAGGTTTATTATTCCCTGTACTTTCTCTACTGTAAGCATTTCATAATAAAAAATGCTAAAAGAATCGAAAGGATATTAACAAAGAAAACATCCAGAATACACATTTTTTGGTGTTTACAAAGGTTGTTTAATTTGTCTCGGTAATGGTTAAAAATAGGAGACATCTGAATCCAAGTTGGTTTGTTAGTATTTTTTAAATAATGTCTGATGTCAAAATATAGATTATGAAGATGTTAAATTTTTCGACACTCTAACAAACGTTAATAGAAATCAACTCCCAGGAAACCTGAAATCCCTCCACTCTCTATGTAGTGCTGACAATTCATCATATTTAACAAGGTGTATTGGAAATAGCTGAGTACTGACCTCCCGAGGACAAATGATTCTCTTGGGACGAGGTGCCTCTTGCTGTAACTGATATACTGCCAAAAAAAAAAGACAGAGAGAGAGAGAAATAATTAGAATTACAATACTGCAACACATATCAATATGCCTTCAAATATTTCCACCTAAGTACACCTCGAGAATTGCAAATATAAAAAAGCAAGAGAATACAGGCACATTTTTTAGACTGGATAAAGTCAGATCATTTATATGGAAATTAGTCATTGTGAATATAAACTTGCAAAATTGATTTTTTTATTCTTATAAGGCCAATTTAGTTTCATAATTGTTACTGGCATTGTTCATTTTATGGCTTTCTTGGAAGACCAAATATGGCCAAAATTATTTTGACTATTTTAAAGATGAAATTCTACTTGTGAATAACTGAGTAGTAAGATCATATAATAGGATTCCTGAATTTAAATGCCAATGTCTCTTGACATACCAGAAAAAGAACTGGCATTTTAAGAGGAGTGTGATTCTCTGAGATGTTAGTTATGTACAAAGATATAACTGATTCTGAGTGAGTGAAACACCAAGCCATTTCTCGCTCTTTTCTCCCTCCATTTTTGCCCTATCACACTGTGAATTCTCATCCATTTGATGACTTTCCATCCACTGTCATTCCTCTTTCCTGGGTGCTTTCTCATCCTAAATAATAATAACTCCTTCCTAACCTCATTTAAAGATAGACTTTCAGTCTTAGGCATGGAGGAAAGCAGGTCATTGTATATAAAGCAATCTATCAGACAATTATTGGTGATTTTTCAGAATATAATGAGTGATTTTTCTGCTGCTCAGCTAGTCTGCTTATTTCTGCTAAAGGGAAAAGCTATCCTAAGCAGGTACCTTTGGATTCTACTTCCGTGAAAATACAGGTTGAAAAAAAAAAAAAAAGTTGATGTTATCTTTAGAATCCTGAAGAGGAAAGAATTAATTTTAAATGGAATAAATCTACAAAAAGTTTTAAAAAACTAGATCTGACAAAGTCTTCCTAGAAAATGTAATAAGCAAAACTTTCTGATCTATTTTTAGGTCTAAAAATTTAAAAAATGTAATTGAAGGGCAGGTGATTATATGGAAACACAGATAAAAACGATGGAATATATTTTGTACTTATGGCTCCCCATTGTCTTTGGCTGAACGTGGTTATTTTCTTACCTAATTAGTGTAAACTACCTGGTTTTAGCACAGAGAAGGAGCTATCTAACCCTCTATCCATTTTGAAATGTACCACATTTCTAGGTGTAGGTCACCCACACTAATGTGTCACCTAAGGATGACTGTAGTCATCTGTGAAAGGAAAACAGAGTTCAACATAACCCTTTAGCTCAGGACACCAAAAATGACAGACAGATAAAAAGAAGGCTTCTACACACCTGCCTCCCTATAGAGAAAGAGCTTTCAGAGCCAAATGAACCAATACATGGAAAGTGGGACTAGGTGGAGGAAAGATGAATGGCCTTGCATGTGAGATCATCAACCAATTGACACATACTGTTCACTTTGTGCTATCTCTTTCCATTGGCTTCCATGGCACCACCCTCCTGGTCTTCCTCCTTTGATCCTGGCTACCTCTTTCCTATGCATGTTGCTGCTCCTCCTCCTCCTTTACCTGTCCACTGACCATAGGAGAGACCCAAGGCTTACCTTAGACCCTCTTCAGGTCTCATTCTCTTTCTTCTCCCTAGGGAATCTCCTCTAACTCTAACACTTCATTTATCTCCTACACACAAAGGCGCCCACATTTCAGCTCAGAACCCTCCTCTAAGCTCCAGGATGTATACCTTACTTCCTACAGATTCCTCCTGACTTTCTCAAAAGAAAAGGGACCTCAACTTCAATATGTCAAAAGTTGAACTCAAGATCTTTTCCTCCAAATCTAGGCTTCTGGGAATTCTGATATCAGTGAAGGAGCCCATTATTCATCCTATTTCTCTAGCCGCCAGCATCCTAGAAGTTGTTCATCACACCTCAGATGGTCAGTTCATCAACAGACCTGTCACGTTTGCTTTGAAACATCTCCAAAGTCTGTCGACTCCTCTTCATCACTATCATTAACACCCTACTCCAAGCTCTGGACTCTTCCCATCCTGCAGCCTGTTTTTTTCCCTGGTGGCTAGAATGACTGTTTTAAAACAAGACCATGTCACTCCCCTTACATGCCCTCACATTGCTCTCAGAGGAAGATCAAATGCCCCACATGCTTTTGCCTGTCTCCTTCTACAGTATTACCATGTGCCATGCTCTCTGCTCAGCCAAGTTTGTTTCCTCCCCTTTCCCTAAATATGCAGCGCTCCCTTCAACCACAGGGCCTTTGCATATGCTATTCCTTCTGTCTATGACATCTTCCTCTACTGCTTCTCTACCTCTTGTTATCTGCCCCTTATCATCATGTCCTTAGTTCAAATATCAACTTCATGGAGGAGTCCTTCTTGACATCTCTCACACCAAATCCAAAGACATCACCCTAGTCTATGCTCTTACAATCCCCTGTACTTTCCTTTATATAACTTATCAACAATTATAGTTCTGTATTTATTGGTGTGAGTTCCAAAAACAATGATCTCTCCCTGCATGTTGTAAGTCCCACCATGAAGCAAGGCATCATGTTTGTTTTTGCTTGTCTTGTATCCTGAGGTTTTGTCGAGGTGCTATGGATATAAATATAAATAAAACCACAGCCTCTACTTTCAAGAACCCTATCAGCTTTAGTGAGAGGCCCAAATGTTTTTATGAAATAGTATAGTAAGTACAGGGCTGGCAAGGATCATCTTTTCAAGACTTGGTTTACCAATCTTTGTTAGAAGGAAATAGTTAAATTAACTATGGTACGTCTTCTGATGGATACCATGCCCCTGTAATAAGGACTGAGAAAGCTCTCTATGCACTGACCTGGATTGATACCCTTGACATTCTGTTAAGCAAAAAGAGCAAGGTAAAATACACACACACACAACCATAAATACATAGAATACACATTCATTTTAAGAAAGGGAGTAAAATAATAATGTATATTCAGTTTTGTTTACATCTGTGTAAAGAAACTCTGGAAGGAACAAGAAAGAAAGAAAAGCATTTACCTTCAGGGGATAAAAAGAAAGACAAGGACAGGAGTGGAACAAAGATTCCTCAATGTATACTTTATGTTGTTTTGAGTTTTGAATCATATGTATTGCTTATTCAAAAGAAAAAGCTATAAGAGATAAGGTCAGAGAAGGCTTCTTTTAATACATGAGGAAGAGTTGGCCAATCAAAGACAGAGAAACAGTTGTGGACATTCCTCTGGCTACCCCAGTATAGCTCATGCCCTCCTTAATCACCAGGGAGGCTACATGGAATTCCTTTATTCCTCTGGAATCACTCCCAAAACTACTAAGCTGCTTTTTAGCAGGATGTTACTGCTAATGAGCATGCAATGGCCATCTCCTAAAATCGCAGAGGAATTGCAGAATTCACATTCAGAGAATCCTGCCCACTCTTCTCTTCCCATTGTCAATGCTTCTAGAAGCCAACAGTGATATATGGCTGAAATGGCTTTGTGAATACCATTTTTAATGGAGGTGGCAAAGGAAGCATACCTGTTATAAAAGAGAAGCATTTTTAGCTAAGTGCTCCTTTGCAATTCTTACAAGCAAATATGTGAGCATCTGCTATATGCCAGATACCACAGTTAGCATTATGTGGAGGCTTTCAGAATGAATGGAGAGTCTGGGAGAAGAGAAGGGCACCAGCATACCAAGTGCCTGCCATGTGTCAGGAATAACATGTATTAAATCTTCTTAAGGAACCAGAAAAAATAACTTTGTGTCATTATCATTCTGGATAGGGGGTGAGGAACAGTGCAGAGAAGTTAAATATTTGCTCCAGGGCAGGGCATAGAGCTAAAATACATCCTTTTGATTCCAAAGCCCCTGGTTTGATTGTTGGTCTATTTTTTTTAAGAGATGGGGTCTCACTATGTTGCCCAGGCTGGAATCAAACTCTTGGGTTCAAACAGTCCTCCTGTCTCCACCTCCCAAGTAGCTGCGAATACAGATGGGTGCCATCAACCCTGCTTCCCTGGTTTATATCTCCCATGCGTCAGGGCTTTTGCAGTTACTGTTCCTTCCATCTGGATTACTCACTCCCAAGATATACACACGGCTCACTCTCTCCCTTCATTCAAATATCTGCTTAAATCTCAGCTTATCAGGGAGGTCTTCCCTGACTTGCCTGTATAAAATTCCACCCTATCCCTCTGTTTCCTTATATAGTTTTAAGTTTCTTCACAGCACTCATCATCATTAACACAATTAATAACCAAGACATAAATATTGTGTTTATTTATTTTGTGTACCATCTCCCTTGACTAAAATGTAAGCTCTTTGAGGACAGGGACGTTGTTCCGTGCACTGCAGAATCCCCAGCATCTAGAACAGTGCTTGGCACATAGTAGATGGTGGTGGTGGTGGTGTTGCTGTTGTTGTTTGAGATGGAGGCTCGCTCTGTTGCCCAGGCTAGAGTGCAGTGGCACAATCTCGGCTCACTGCAACCTCCACTTCCTGGGTTCAAGCGATTCTCCTGCCTCAGCCTCCCAAGTAGCTGGGACTATAGGCACGCATCACCATGCCTGGCTAATTTTTGTGTTTTTGTAGAGATGGGGTTTCACCATATTGGTCAGGCTGGTCTCGAACTCCTGACCTCAAGTGATCCACCCGCCTCGACCTCCCAAAGCACTGGGATTACAGGCGTGAGCCAGCATGCTCAGCCTTGTAGTACATGTTTAATGCATATGTGTCCCTTTATTCCCCTTTAATCAGCCCAATACTACTAAGCTGCTTTTTAGCAGAATGTTACTGACAGTGTGTGTAGCAGGAGTCAAAGGGGCCATCTCCTAGAACCACAGAGTTCTAGATCTAAGAAGGACTATAGAATTCACAGTGAGAGAATCCTATTCACTATTCTCTTCCCATTATTAATGCCTCTGAAACCAACAGTGATATGTGGGACACCATGGGGAACTAGACCCTGAAGCTCACACTTCAGGCTTCACACT